GGCAGTTGGAGCTCACAGACTGGGGCTCTAGGACCCATGACACCCTGTGTGATGTCATCGGGCTTTGTGAAACAGCCAGATGCAGTGTTTTCAACACTACCAAGTAGGCAGGGCCACCTTGTACAGTCAGGTGTTCTCTCAGCATCCAGGCACCTCAAATTCTGCTGTCCAGAAAAAAATTACACCTTTCAATTCATTCACCATAGACCCCTGCCTGATTTCACCTATAACCCTGCCTGGAAAACACATCAGTCACAAGGCAGCCTGCGCAATTATCTCAGTGGTAAGTGGAGTGAGCACCCTGTGCTAGAAGTGGGCACAGTGATGGGGGGCTTCCCTCTGGAGTCAGTGGAAGCAGCGCATCAAATCACTGACTCCTGATGGGGTGTTAGCTCAGGGAATTAGGACTGAGAAGATTTATCTGGGTTTGTTAAAAAGGAGAGCAGCACCAGGCTGGTTATGCCACCTTAACAGTGGCTTTGGACACTGCAGTGGCTTTAGTTCTTTAAAAACAGGCCAAGTTTGATTATGTACATCTTTATGCTCTTAAAACATATACCAGGTAAATGTATTATTTATTCAGAAAAACACAATAAAGGCCTGGTGTTGTGGCTCACGCCTGTAATCCTAGCACTCTGAGAGGGCAAGGCGGGTGGATTGCCTGAGCTCATGAGTTTGAGACCAACCTGAGCCAGATTGATACCTCATGTCTAAAAAAAATAGCCGGGCGTTGTGGGAGGCGCCTGTAGTCCCAGCGACTGGGGAGGCTGAGGCAAGAGAATCTCTTGAGCCCAAGAGTTTGAAGTTGCTGCGAGCTATGACGCCATAGCACCCTACCAAGGGCAACAAACAAGACTGTCTCAAAAAGAGAGAAAAAAAAGAAAAACACAATAGATAAAAAGCCCTTAGTGTCAGAATGTTATAGATCTTGTGTGAAGATCATTATTAAGATCATCCTAGGCAATCTAGGGTTTTAAAATGCTGCTTATTAACCAGGTGCGGTGGCTCTCGCCTGTAATCCTAGCACTCTGGGAGGCTGAGGCGGGCGGATCACTTGAGCTCAGGAGTTCTAGATGAGCCTGAGCAAGATCCAGACCCCCATCTCTAAAAATAACAGGGCACTGGCGGCACCTAGGGTCCCAGCTACCTGGGAGGCTGAGGCCAGAGGATTGCTTGTGAGCTGTGATGCCACAGCACTCTACTGGGAACAATAAAGTGAGACTCTGTCTCCAAAATAAATAAATAAAAATAAAAATGCAAATTATTTACAGAAAAACTAGTTGTAACAGTATCTAAAGTATGGTCGTGTTTTCCTGGCTCTAAAGACTCACATTTTAAAGCACGTCTAAACACCAGATTTGGTTTGGGATTTGGGTGTGTGTGTTGGCGATTACCAGCTGCATTTAGTCAGCTCCTGGGTCTCTTTAAGTGCACTTAAAATTTTACTTCCTCTACATACAAATCCTCAAAGCACGTTTTACATATTCCTTCTGTGTTTTTCTAGCAAGTGAATTCAGCAAATTTTAGTGAAGAAAATAATTGCATGATTTTCATCTGAAGATGGAGTTGAATACCCAGTCACAGGCTGCTTAGATCTCTCTCACGGTAGGAGCAATTTTCTGTGTTCTGTGGGGATGTGGAGTGGGGTGGGAGGTGAGGTGCAAATTCCAGAGAACTAGGATGGGCTCTGCTTTGTAACACAAGAATTTATATTAGTTCTCTTGCTAGAAGGGCCCAGGGGTCCTAGACCAAGGGACTTGGAGAGGTAAAGACTCATTTCATTGATCACCTTTTCCAGCTACAGAGGTGGATGTTACACGATCTTTAAAAAACCTTTAAAAAAGGGCGGTGCCTGTGGCTCAGTGGGTAGGACACCGGCCCCATATCTGAGGGTGGCAGGTTCAAGCCCGGGCCAGCTAAAAGCAGCAGTGGCAACTGCAGCAAAAAATAGCCAGGCATTGTGGCGGACACCTGTAGTCTCAGCTACTTGGGAGGCTGAGGCAAAAGAATCGCTTAAGCCCAAGAGTTGGAGGTTGCTGTGAGCTATGATGTTATAGCACTCTACTGAGGGCAACAGAGAAAAATGTTTTGCAGTATAAAGCATGCATATAAAGGATAAAAATATATTGTTTAGGAGAAAGTCAGCAGGTCCCCACCCAGAGCCTGCCCCAATGCCCAGCTCTGCTCCCTAACAGCAGTAGCTTTTGATAATTTAATTTATTTCTTATGACAGTTTCATATTTTAAATAATATTTTTAGACTTCTATTTCTTGATTGATTTATTTTACACAACGTCATTTCTTTCTTACATAAGCGCCATTTTTCTAGGTTTTTTTTCCTAATATGTGATTTTTTTCTCTTTTTTTTGTTAATACAAATCTGACATTCTTTCTACCACCTGCCCCTGTCACAGGGTCTGGCTAGCTGCTCTCCGGCTATGATCTGGGGACTTCTCTGCCCCATCCAGGGTTGGATTCCCTGCCCTGGGTTTGTACCATCTTTATTCACTTTTTGCTTTGTTAGCCTTTATGGTCCACATGTATTTTCTCAAAAATAATTCCTGGAGGGTCATTTTTCTGAGTTCTTTACATATCTAAAAGTATCTTCATTCCACTCTCCAGACTGATTAAATTTTGACGGGGTAGAGACTTCTCTCTATCTCCCAATGCAGATAGAGCAACCTAGCTGTGGAATCTGGTGTGGGAGGAGAGACAGAGAACTGAGCGATCCAAACACTCCACGTTGAGACTTTCCCCTTGTTTTTATTTATTTATTTATTTTGGAGACAGAGTCTCAAGCTGTTGCCCTGGGTAGAGTCCTGTGGCATCATAGCTCACAGCAACTTCAAACTCCTGGGCTCAAGCAAATCTCTTGCCTCAGCCTCTTGAGTAGCTGGAACTACAGGTGCCTGCCACAGCACCTGGCTACTTTTTGGTTGTAGTTGTCATTGTTGTTTGGCAGGCCCAAGCTGAATTGGAACCTGCCAGCTCTGGTGTATGTGGCTGACACCCTAGCTACTGAGCTATAGGCACCGATCCTTTTCCCTCATTTTTTTTTTTAGAGATAGGGTCTCACTCTGTTGCCCCACGTTGGGGGGCAGCGGCATCATCACAGCTCAGTGCAGCCTTGAACATCTGAGCTCAAGTGATCCCCCTGACTCAGCCCCCCAAGTACACATCCAGACATTTTAATCAACTCTCTTGATTTCAGCCCCAAGCTTTCCTCTGTAGTTCCATTTTTCCAGAGAAGATGGGACTTCTCCATGCAGGGATGGGTGAAGAGAGATGACTGCTCCGACCCCTGATGTGTGGCCTTTCCCAAGCCACGTGTCCCCTGAAGCCTTGAGCTCAGCTGCTCTGGGCTCAGAGTCACTTCCAGTGTAGAGTCCTCCCCCTGTACATTATGGGCCGTGACTTCCTCTGTCTTTCCAAAGTGTCATCACATGCCCAGTAACTTCCTGTTTTCTAAGCATGTGTTAAAAAATTTAGCTTTATTTTTAATTTATTGTGTCAAGATGGAGATGACATGTTCAATCTGTTATCTTTAAAGAAAGCCTCTCAATACCTTCCTTTTTTTTTTTTCTATAAATTATGAATAACTCCAAACATAACGGGAGGAAAAATGTCCCAAATGCTCTGTCACATCCATCAGCTCTATCAAACCAGATCTCTTTGCCTTCTTTTTCATTTTTTCTTTCTTTTCTTATTTTATTTTTGGGACAAAGTCTCACTTTGTCACCCAGGGTAGTGTGCTGTGACATCATAGCTCACAGCATCCTCAGACTCTTAGACTCAAGTGATACCCTTGTCTCAGCCTTAAAGTAGCTGTGACTACAGGCCCCCTGCACAATTCCCAGCTGTTTTTAGAGAAAGGGTCTCATTCTGGCTCACGTTGGTCTGGAATTCCAGCGCTCAAGCAATCTACCCACCTCGGCCTCCCAGAGTGCTAGGCTAACAGGTCTGAGCCATCATGCCAGCCTTCCTTATTTTCTTCAGAGCTTTTTAAAGAATAAGCAGTAGGCTCGGTGCCCATAGCTCAGTGGTTAGGGCACCAGCCACATACATCAGGGCTGGCCAGCCCGGGCCTGCTAAATAATAATGACAACTACAACAACAACAACAAAAACATAGCCAGGCATTGTGGCGGGGGCCTGTAGTCCCAGCTACTTGGGAGGCTAAGGCAAGAGAATCGCTTAAGCCCAAGAGTTTGAGGTTGCTGTGAGCTGTGATGCCACAGCACTCTACTGAGGGTGACATAGTGAGACTCTGTCTGAAAAAATAAATATAAAAATAAAAAAATAAGCAGTAGGAGCCCTTTATTCCCCATCCCCACCACCTCCCCGTGGAGGCAATCACTGTTGTAAGTCTGTGTACGTCACTCCCACAGAGTTATCCTTGCCTTTGCTACATATGAGAATATAAACGATCAACTATCGTACTGCTGCTCACAGGTCTCACATTTACATAGTACCCTACTTGGTTTTTTGCATGTTGTTATTTTAGATTTTATGATAGTGACATGTGTATTGCCAGTTGAGCCATTTTCATTAATAAACGAGTAGCTTCATTTTATCAATTCTCCTGTTGATGGAACCTTAAACTATATTTAGTTTTTCACTACTATGAGCATTACTTCAATAGACATTCTTGTACACATCTCATGATGCATTTCTTTAGGTGAGTGTCATATCTAATGAGAGTCTCCTTAGGATAGATCCCTGGGGAGGGACCAGCTTCATCCCACTGTATGTGTACGCAATGTATATGTCCACAGCTACATGCTGCTAAATTGATTATGCCGATGTATATGTGGACCACAGTTTTCATTGGCCACTTTCTCTCCAGCATGAGATATTGTGGGGGGTTTTGTTTGTTTGTTTGTTTGTTTTGCAGTTTTTGGCCGGGGCTGGGTTTGAACCTGCCACCTCCGGCATATGGGGCTGGCGCCCTACTCCTTTGAGCCACAGGCGCCACCAGATGTTGTGTTTTGTACCTTTTTAACAACTTGATGTGTGTCCAATCAGATTTTTAGTGACCCCTGCTGTCACTTCAGGATGGACTGAGTGTGCACTGAGGGTGAGTAAGCCTTTGTTCACCTTATATCCTGTACGCACAGGGGTATGTGTCAATGGTATTATATGGCAGTATCTTCTTCATAAACATGTTATACATTTTGATGTTAAGTAATCTAATGAATGTCAATTTTAAGAGTTTGGGCTAGGTGGGGTATGATGGCTCATGCCTGTAATCCTAGCACTTTGGGAGGCTGAGGCAGGAGGATGGTTTGAGGTCAGAGAACAGCCTCAGCAACACAGTGAGACCCTAACTCTACAAAAAATAGAAAAATTAGCCAGGTGTTGTGATGTGGGCCTGCAGTCCCAGCTACGTATGGGGCTATGGCAGGGGGATCACTGTGAAGCCAGGAGTTTGAGGTTGCTCTGGGTTATGATGCTGCCACTGCACTCTAGTCTGGGCAACAGAGAGAGGCCCTGTCTTCAAAATAAACAAACAACATAAAAGAAAACTACAAATTAACAAAAACTTGTGCTAATACAAACAAAGATGCACTTTATGTATATGACAAGGACTGATGTCTGTCTTTAAAACACTGAACACTGAATCTGAGACAAGTAGGTGATCTACAAACTATTGGAACATCTAATACTGCTTCTCTTAAACATTTCTTTAGGAAATAGAAAAATGGACCATGGATAACACTAAGCTTACAAGGAGAAATGTCATAATTCGATGTTTATTGTATGGGTCCTTGACATTTGGGATGTGGACAACTCTGTTTTTCTTGTATTTGCACCGTATCCACACGCACTACTTGGAGAAGACGAGCCAGGAGCTTTCGTCAGCTTGGTATCTGGAACAAAGTGAGCAGCAGCCAATCACCCAGGACCCACAGCCACCGTCAAAAGCCCATGTGGTAGTCAAAAATAAACCTGAAAAACTGCAAACATTTACTGTGTTAGGTAAGTATTTCCATTTTCTCTGTTAGCCATTTTAGAGGGAAAATATACCACAAATTTAAAATTTGGAAGAGTTAAGAGGATGTCCTTTGCAGAGCAATTTAGTTTTCAAATTATGAAACAGAAAATAAAGCCAGCATGCATGCGCTTACCACTTCCATTTAACATTGTCATATAGCTTACTGTATTTGCCTCAGATAGCTTTGTTTTCAGAGAAATCAATTTTAATAGGTACAGTAAAACCTTTGCCCCCTTCCTTCCTTCCCCTCCTTCCAACCTCAGAGCTCACGGTTAACATGAATTGACAAGTTTCTTTCTCACGCAGGTCTCTTCCACTTCATCTGTGTATAATCCCTAAGCAAAACACGGTGTTAGGCACTCGTAATATAGTTGTAGATATTCTGCTGTTACGTATCTTTTTGGAACTTGCTCTTTTCACTCTTTGTTATGTTTGTAAGATTTTTGTCCCATGTTCACACACGTGAAGACCTAGTTTAACAAATCAACCCAAAGAACGATGGAGACCTTAAGGCCTCAAGAAACTGGCCCACCCTGTGTGGATCACCCTGTGTGGATCACCCTGTGTGGCTTTCCTCCTCAAGGAGCAGGAACCCCACCCCAGACTTGAGCCTGTGACACATGAGAGCCTCCGCCCCTTTCCCTGAGGTCACACCCTAATTCTACCACTCAGGTGGTGACAGAAAGTAATGAAATAGGACACCAGTGATGAGCCCCCCAGATGAACAGTGGAGCTCACTTCTTCACCAATTGAAACAAGTCTTGGGATGGCATGAGATCGTCCAGGCACCAGAGGCCACACCAGGTTTGAACTGAGGCTCCAGGTAGGAGCAGTCCCTGCCTGGAACAGAGCTCTGCAGAAACTACAGCTGTAGTCAGTGGCTGGTCATAGTGTTCAAGGATGCCGGCTTTCTGTCTCTGTCTTAGACACATGTTCAATAGCCTTGGATATCATTCATTTATAAGGCTTTTAGACAAATACTTAAAAAAACAACAAAAAAGGGAAAATCAGCCCTCATCTTTAGCACTTGAATGCATACACATGTATGTCTGCATATACATGTATGTGGATGAGACATTCCTTCCTTACCCCAGAGAGGTAAATGCCTAACAGTTGGGTGTATAGCAAGTTTCCTCTATGACTTTACATGCAATTTGTTTTAATATTATGTAATAATAATCTCTTTAGCTAAATATGTGCAGGTCTCCCTCAATCTTTAGTAGCTGTAGGGTGTGGATACATCAGATTTTATTTAACTCTTTCCCCTACTGATGGACATTTAGGTTGTTTCCTGTTTTCTTATAGTTGCAAGCTGATGCAGCAAACTTCCTTAATAGTATATACTCATGCAGAGAAACCACATTTAATGCTATATTTATGCAGAACAAATTAGAAAAAGGAGTGCTAAGCTATGATGCTCTGGCACATTTTTTAAAATTTTAGTAGAAACTGCTAAATTACCCTCCATGGATGTAACCAGTTTACTCTTTCACCAGTGGTAAAGGAGAGAACGCCTTTTGCTGTTCCCTCTGCCAACTCCGGATGCCGTCACACGTTGTAATGTGTACGTCTGTGCCTACTAGTAAAGGGGATGCAGGGACCCTGTCATGCTCACTCCCTGGCGCCTCGCAGGGCCTCCGTGTAGAGAACTGACACCTGTGTCCTTTCTTCACCTGCCGATGCTTTCTGCTCAGGAGATCTCTGCTCACAACTCTCTGTGTTACCTTTTGTCATCACTTGAAGTTTATCAGTTCTACACAAACCACTTGAGTTTAGAAATTGTTTCATCTCCAAGGAATTAAACTAGCTGATCGTTCTTTCTTTTGATGACTATAAATACACCATATTTAAGAATTCTCGCTTGTCTTCAAATTCACATGCCCCATGTACTCTGCGCTCCCTACAAGATAGAGACTCTGCGCAGGCTCTCGCCTCAATGGTCCAGATAAGAGAAGTAATGACGGCCTGAAGTAAACCAGGCGCACAGTAAACCAGCTGAGCACAGAGCAGAGAGAATACAGAGGCCACGGGACCTGGAGGAGATACTGTGCAGATTTATAATCTCCGTCATTCCCCCCAACAAAATCTCAGAAACAAAAATGTTTTGTTTTTGCATATCTTGTGATTTTTTTTTTTAAACTTGATCTTTGTCTCCATTTTTTTTTTTTTTGAGACAGGAGCCTCCTGCTGTCCCCCTGGGTAGAGTACCGTGGCATCACAGCTCACAGCAACTCCAACTCCTGGGCTCAAGCAAGTCTTCTGACTCAGCCTCCCAAGTAGGTGGGATCATAGGCGCCCGCCACAACACCTGGCTATTTTTTGGTTGCAGCCGTAATTGTTGTTTGGTGGGCCCGGGCTGGAATCGAACCTGCCACCTTAGGTGTACTTGGCTGGCGTTAGCCACTTGAGCCACAGGCACCGAGCCTAAACTTGATCTTTGGCTTGGAAACAGTTTTTTTAGTTCTGACAACTTGATAAGACTTTTAAAAAATCTTTTTGAAAATAAATACTGGCCTTTACATTCTTTTTTAATTTTTCTTTATTTTTTTCTTTGAGACAGAATCTCACTTTGTTGCCCTCAGTAGAGTGCCCTGGCATCATAGCTTACAGCAAGATCAAACTCCTGGGCTCAAGCAGTTCTCTGGCCTCAGCCTCCCTGAGTACCTGGGACTACGGTCTACAGTCACCTGCTACAACATCTGGCTATCTTTAGAGATTGGGATCTTGCTCTGGCTTAGGCTGGTCTCAAACCTGTGAGCTCAGGCAATCCACCTGCCTGGCCTCCCAGAGTATTAGGATTACAGGCCTGAGCCACCACACCTGGCCTTTTCTTTCTTTTTTTTTTTTTAAAAGTCTCAATTGTCATCCTGGGTAGAGTACTATGGTGTCATAGCTCACAGCAACCTCCAACTTTTGGGCTCAAGTGATCTTCTTGCCTAAGTTTTTCTGTTGTTAGTAGAAACTGGATCTTGCTTTTGCTCAGGCTGGTCTAGGACTTATGAGCAATCCACCTGTAATCTACCTGCCTTGGCCTCCTAGAGTGCTAGGATTACAGCCATGAGCCACCGCACCCAGCCTTGGCCTTTAAACTCTAAACTTTTTCTCTGGAGAATTGATTTTACAATTGCTTTTTAAAATATGCACATAGAAAAATTATATCTTGGAATATTATCCTTTGTTCTTTATATTTTATATTGCTATGAAAGTTTCACTCTTGATAAGTACGTGTAGAATTTTATATCAGTGGAATCACAAAAAGCATAAATACAATTGTATAAATACAATTTTTTGTCTGGCCTTTTTCAATCAGTACATTGACTTTGAGACTCATGTTGCTACATGTAGCAGTGGTTCTCTGATTGTTGAGTGGCATATTCCACTGTAGGAATAGACCACAATTTATCAATTCATCTGTTGATAAGTGTTTGGGCTGTTTCTAGCTCTTGGCTGTTCCAAACACTGCTTCTGTGAATATTGGTATGTGAGTCTTTGTTGTTTCTCTTAAATACTGAAGTGTGGAATGACTTCCTATGGTGTATACATGACTTAAAGAAAATGCCAAACTGTTTTCCAAGATCCCTGTGCCATTTTGTGAGTTTTATGAGAATTCTGTTTTCTCCAGATGCAAACACTTGACATGGTCCAATGTTTTAATTTTAGGTATTCCAATAGATGAGTAATAGTATCATTGTAGTCTTTTTAATTTTTTTTCCAAGATAGAGTCTCACTTTGTTTTCCTTGGTAGAGTGCTGTATGTCACAGCTCACAGCAACCTCAAACTCTTGGGCTCAAGTGATTCTCTTATCTCAGCCTCCCATGTAGCTGGTACTACAGGCACTCGCTACAATACCTGGCTATTTTTTTTTTTTTTTTTTAGAGATGAAATCTCACTCTGGCTCAGGCTAATGTTGAACACATGAGCTCAGGCAATCTCCCTGCCTTGGCCTCCCAGAATGTTAGGATTACAGGTGTGAGCCACCACACCTGGCCTATCATTGTGGTCTTGTATTTCTCGGAGAACTAACCATTGTGTGCTGAATGGACATCACACTTCTTCTTATGTGAAGTATCTCTTCAAATCTCCTTTTTTTTTTAGAGACAGTGTCTCACTTTGTCACCCTTGGTAGGGTGCTGTGGTGTCACAGCTCACAGCAACCTCTAGCTTTGAGCTTAGGCAATTCTCTTGCCTCAGCCTCCCAATTAGCTGGGACTACAAGCACCCATCACAACGTCCAGCTATTTTTTGTTGCAGTTTGGCCAGGGCTGGGTTTAAACCCGCCCCCCCCATGGTATATGGGACCAGCACCCTATTCACTGAGCCACAGGCACTGCCCTCAAATCTCTGATTTTTAAATTGAGATGTTTGTCTTATAGACTGTTAAGGCTCCTTTATATATTCTGGACTGAAGTCCCTTGACAAATGACTTGTAAATATTTTGCCCAAGTCTGTGGTTTGTCTTTTTATTCTCTTTTAAAGACCGTTATTTGAAAAGCGCAATTTTATATTTTGATGGTATTCGATTCATCATATTTTCTTGTATGGTCACGCTTATTATGTTTTATCTAAGAAAACTTAGCTTACTCTCCAAGTTCACAAAGATTTCATTCTGTTTTTTTGGGAGAAATTTTAAAGTATGTGGAGGCTGGGTGCAATGGCTCACACCTGCAATCCCAGCACTTTGGGAGGCTGGGGTGGGAGGACTGCTTAAGGCCAGGAGTTCAAGACCAGTTTAGACAACATAGCAAGACCCCTCTTCAAAAACCAAAAAAATTAGTCAGGGATAGTGGTGCATATCAATAGTTCCAGCTACTCAGAAGCCTGAGGTAGGAGGATTGGTTGAGCCCAGGTATATTTATATAAAAGCTGCAGTGAGCTACGACCAGACCTCTATACTCCAACCTGAGCAAAAATTGCTTTTTTCATCAAAAAATTTTAAAAATTAGATATGTGGCTATCCAGTTCATCTACCACCATTTGTTAAAA